ATGAGATATGGAAGGGGCTCACTCGACCCTGTATGCTGCTCATCCCCGGTGGTACAAAAATGTATAGAGATCTTTGAAATATATTTTGGTGGAGAAACATGACAAGAGGAAAAGGTCTTTTGTGGAGAAGTGCATAGTTTGTCAAAAAGTCAAAGCAGAACATCAAAGGCCATCAGAACTATTAAAACCATTGGACATTCCAGAATAGAAATGAGAACACATAGTGATGGACTTTGTGGCAAGTTTCAGCCGATCATTATAGGTCACAATGCAATTTAAATAGTGGTTAATTGTTTAACAAAGTCAGCCAATTTCACGATTTGCACGATTATATATCACGGAGATATTCAGATTGCATGGAGTTCTAGTCACCATTATTTTCGATAAAGATCCGAGATTCACATCGAAATTTTGGAGAAGCTCGCAAAAAGTCGTGTGGATAAAATTGAAGGTTAGTACTCTTTATCATCCACAAACGGATGGACAATCAGAAAGAATCATTCAAACTCTAGAAGATGTGTTGAAGACATGTGTTTTTGATCTGGCGATAATTGGGATTCACATTTGCTATTGGTTGAGTTTGTTTATAACAATAGTTTTCAAGCCACTATAGGCATGGCCCCGTGTGAAGCTCTTTATGGTAGGAAGTGTAAATTTCCTATTCATTGAGACGAGGTCAGAGATGAAAGAATTTTAGATCCGAAATCATTGAACAAACAGTTGAGGCGGTGGATAAGATTAGAGCCTGAATAAAGACACACAAGATCGACAAATTAGTTATGCCAATCGTAAAAGAAATGATTTGAAATTCCAAGTGGGTGATAAAGTTTTCTAGAGGTAGCATCGATGAAGGGTGTATTGAGATTTAGTAAAAAACGAAAATTGAGATCACGTTTATTGGACTTTTCAAAATTCTTGAAAGGATTGGTATTGTGACTTACCGACTTGTCTTACAATCTAAACTCGCAGCAGTGCATAATGTGTTTCATGTTTCGATGTTTAGAAAATATATTCATGACCCAATCACCTGGTGAGTTATTAGACATTGAAGGTGCAGAATGACTTGTCGTACGAAGAAGTTTCGATGATGGTTTTGGATAGAAAAGTGACCAACTCAGAAATAGAGAGGTCCCCCTGGTCAAGGTTCAATGAAAAAGTCATGGATTTGATGAGTCAATTTGGGAAAAGGAAGATAAGCTTAAAACCAAGTATCCGAACTCTTTGATTAATCATAATAATTTTCAAGAACAAAAATATTTTTAGATGGAGGGTTGTAGAGCCCCGAATTTTTGTCACACACAATATTATATGATATAATTTTTAACCATTTATGTTAAATTAAATTTTAAATTGGTATATAAACATATGCAATTTCTTTTCTGTCGATACGTTTTGCAATTTGTACTTGACTTCCTTTCGCATTTGCTTGATCAGTTAAATCAATAGTTTTTTTTTCTTTGCTTTTCGAAATGAAACCAAATTCTTTAATTGTCCAGCTATAAATTCTACAAGAATATTAAGGTTTCCATAAGGTTCTATAATTCTTGTGATAACAATGTTAAGTGTTTGGTTCACATAATTAAATTCTTTTTATAGATTAATCTATAATTCTTGGATTTCTTGCGGTCTATTTCCTATTAATAACTTTGGGAATCCCATAAAAATTATGACTTGGATCAAATCAATTCTTTTTTGAATTTCTATACATGCAATTCCCTCGACGCTAGAGATTATTCTCATACTCTTTTGTATATAATTTTTGATAAAATCTCTTACTTTTTGATCTTCTTGTAAACTCTCAGAATAATTTTTTGATTGTGCAAACTAAAAAGAATGATGACCATGGGTTGTACCAAGTAAGAAACCGAGTTGATTTATTTTTTGTCCCACACTCCCCTAATACTATATATATATGAGCAAGCCAAGCTCAAAGTACTTTCCAATTTTTAGGTAATATACCCAAACGAAAAACTCATTTCAAAATCCTATCAAGCCAATTAAACCATTTGATTTTTGTCCTCCAAAAACTCCTCAAAAATCTCCAAACCCAACCAACTTCAAAATGGCTGCAGAAACTGGAACTGGAAAATTGTCAGTAATAAATCTCTCTCTCTCTCTCTCTCTCTCTCTCTCACACACACACATATATATTGTTTCACACGTGTTAGTGGGGATAAGTCAAGTCCAAGTCAAAGTAGAATAATATTATCCCATCTATAAACAAAATATCCCAATTATTTGTTATTCAACAATGCTAGAGTTACATTAATTTTGACAGCCCTTTCACATACATTTGGTGGGATCCACGATTAAAATAATCGTGGACACCACCCATGGGAGAGGGCTGTCAAAATTGTTCATTATGCATTTTTGTTATTCTTATTCATTATCTCTTATGATCCCACCAACTTCTAACCACTTCACGTCATTTCATCACTCACATTTCTTCCCCTTATTTCAAACCTCTCTATATACATATCTTCTTCTTTTCTTTATTGTATTCTTCTTATATTTTACAGTAGTAAGAGCACAAGATAGTAAAGTTTAAAAGTTTCCGGGTAAATTCAAGAGGCACAAAAATCTGTAATTTTGTAAGTGCCAAATCAAGATTTTCAAAGATTTAAGATATGAGTAATATTACAAGTGGTTTTGTTCCGTTTAAGTTTTTTTATTTTATATTGATGAATAGTATGCTATTGAAGTGTTAAGATATGATTATGCCATCCGGTACATATAGCATATGAGTTATTATCGGATTCTAAACATATAATATGATCGTATGATTATTTTTATAAATGAATTGATAAATATTATTTTGGATTGTACTAATACTCGTATTCTATTGAGTATTCCCCATACTCAACCAATTTCCTTGCCTCACATGTTGGTATGGATCGTGTCGGAGGGTGGCGATTCAATGGTGTGGTTGTGCCTCGTTTCGCAGGACTAAATCCTAAAATTTAAGCATGTAACTTTATTTCTTTTTTATTTTTTTGCAATAAACATTTATGTTTAATTAATTTCTCGGACATGTTTATTTTGTTATGATTGTTTGTCTTTTAGTAGATAAATTTTTTTGTCCTTTCAGATGTTTAGATTGCACTTTTAATGAGAAGTCAGAATTAAATGTTATGTAATTTGCGTCATTAATGTGCCTACCCATTGCCTAAAATATTTAAATTTATTCCTTACTACTATTTTCATTGCCAATTTAATATTTAGTTGGTTGACTTACACGGTCACTGAAATAAGTTCATTCCATGGCCATATAATTTAAAAGTGAACATACTCGTGTAAGAAATGATCTTTACATGAAAATGAAAGAATCTAAGTTGATTAATGAAGAAAATATTGCAGAATTAAAGTGGTTCTAGTTTACGATCAGATGAATGAACCGCCTAGAGCTCGTATGAGAGGTGGTTTGACTGTCCTGGAATATTTTCAATATATTAATGAACAAGACGTACTTCTATTTATCGACAATATTTTTCGTTTCATTCAAGCGGGTTCTGAAGTATCAACCTTATTAGGTAGAATGCCTTCCTCTATCGGTTACGGATGTAGTTAATCGATAAAAATACCTACCCGTCATATAACTATCGGAGTGAATTGGATTTCTCAGTTAAATAAAAGAAAATCTGAAATGTGCTACATACTATTATCAAGACCATGCATGTATGTTTTAAAATTGGTAGAATGCATTATAATGTGTTCTTGTTCCCTCAATTTTCTAAGTAATAAATAGAATGAAGAACTAGAATTTTATTCATCATCGTTGGCACTAATTTATTCTATGATTGTTGGACAGTAGTTTGGTTTCTTTTAGTCTTGTTTAAATTTTAATACGTAATGGCATGTCAATGGGTACGATCTAAAGGAGGTTTTTGGTAGCGATTCATATTTCTGTCATAAAAAATTTTGGATCGTAGGGTTGGAATAAATTAGATTAATCTATTGCCTGTTAAATGAAAATAAGACTTAACAATAATTATTATTGTTAAACGATTAGATTGCTGGCATTGAAAATCTGCACATAGTATGATTACCCAAAAAAAAGTGCTAGCTAAACAAGAATTCGTTATTCAAGTCCGAACATCTTCAAAAGACTCTCTCTATATACAAAATGTTTTTTATTTTAAAAAATTAATACTAAAATTAAACTCCAATAAATTTTCTATTGTAACTTCATAAAATAGAAAATGCATTTGATTCTCCAAATTTAAAAGATCAAACTCGCTATTTTTAATATGATTGAATTTAATAAATTAGAGATTTCAATACAACCATTTCTTAAACTAT